CATGCCCAGTCGAAGCCATTACACAGCTTGCTATAGGGGGGAGGATAGCTGTATATAAATGGAGAAATAAACATGTGACTGATACTGCCAATATTTCTGAGCTTGACAATCAATATTATAGCACATGTCACAACTGTAAATGAATAGCTTTCTCGTTAAGTGGTGTTATCTTGATTGGACAAGCCCCTAAAATTAAAGTTTGTCTAATAGTTTATGACAATAATATTAGAACAGCTTGCAAAAGAAAAAAATATCAATAAAAACAATGCTGAACCTGTATCTTTAATATGTTCATTACTCATACTTAACAAACCTCAAACCATTTGTATTTGCTTTAGGGATTTAATCACTAGCAAAAACTAGGTTTACTTATAAGTCCTCAGGAGGGTAAGGTAAAACTAATTTACCTGACCAAATTATATTACTCCTACCACTTCAAAAAAAAAAAAAAGAAAAAGAAAAAGAAAAAAAATCCAAATGAAAAATAATAAAAATGCATGTTGATATCCTCTTTTGTCAAATAAACATGCTTAAATTGTTCAACATGACTGATAAATTGCATCACATTACACAGAATTGCATTAACATAGACCCCCCATAGAAGACTACTAGTAGCCTTTATTTACACAATCAGTGCTAAATGGAGAAACCGTTAAAAACCTTTGACCCAAACAAACTCTGCTTCTCACCTTGTTCAAACAAACCAAACCTAAACCTTCTGATTAGCTTGGCAAATAAGGTGGAGAAAACTTCCCAATCACTTATCCAATTATCCTAAGACTGTCCAAATTATGCTGGAGTGACCAGAATTTCAAAGTGAAAGCTGTGCACTTGTAAACCCCAGCCTGATGTACTGTGTTTGTGTACTGGCCATGCTGACAGCTTAATGTTAAATAAACCTTGGGTGTCTATTATGTAATTGTGTTATTGCCCTGAAATGCAAGGTGTGAGTTCACTTTCTTCCTCTTATTTTCATTTTATACAACAGTGACATATACCTAAATCTAACATATAGTGTTAAGTATTATTATCATTGTAAGTTATGCATTAAATGTTCATGAAATCATTTAACGCATAATATAAGACTAACAATTATCTAGCCACGCAGTTGACATTTCCCTGTCTTTAGAGGTTCTGACAACACTGTTTTAGACACAACTTATATCTTCAAAAGCATAACATGGTCAGACTCAATAATTAATTTTAGAACTAAAAATTATTCTTAAGTATGATTAGAAAAGCATCCCTATGCAATCAAGCAGGTAATTTACAAAAAAAAACTTTTCATTAAGAAACAGCATACTAGAGTAATGCATAGAAATCTCTTAGTATAAAATGTTTCTTTTTCAAGCACTTCACTAACTAGCCATGTGAAGAAATTTTCATCATTGATGTATCTCCTTGTCACATGCAACTGATTTTATTTATTATCTTTTCATTTCATTTTTCTCTATGTTTTTCAATTTATTAATTTTGTTAAATGGTAGTTTTCAACTAACAAGTCTCAAAATAATTATAATACACAATTATATTCCTTTTTCAAGTACCATTTATTTTCTCTATCTGAGAGAAGAATTGTGTCATGAATTAGCAAAAGACATCTGTGAATTTCTAGAGAAAAATCCATCTTTGACCATGGCAGAGTGTGACATGCCTTCAGGAGATACCTACATAGACAATAAGAAGTCGGAGCATGATAAGTCTCATGTCCACTTTCTCAAACTTATGTTTTTAGCTCACAGCTTCAATAAAATGCCACATAATGTATTTCCTTTCAAACATTTAACATAAACAATTTGCTTTAAAATCGTATCCTTTAACCGGTATTTTCACTGTCAAAATCCCTTTTTATTCAATATTACCCCTGGAGAGATAAAAGACCCACCATATTGTTTCTCTTGAATTACATTCATGAATATGCTTTAAAATGGACATTATACCTCAACTTCTAGCTCATTACAGCTCATAAGAGTAAAATTCATAATCCTTCAGGCTTAAACACAACCAGTGTTTAGTAAGAGTGGATGATATATTTTAACATCTAAAAAGAGATACTATAAAACTATAGTAGCTGCAAAAATGCTTAAAAACGACCAAACAGTTAATTTGTAATATGTAAACAACTTAGAGGTAACCAAATCCAGCGGCTGCAGACCACAAGTTAACATACGTTCAAAACTTAATAATTTTTCACATAAAAGTAAACATACATAAGTCTACGTCTTTAAATATAACCTAAATATATACATCTCACTCGTAGTACTTAGTAAAATACCTGAACGGAGCGGTTTAAGGACAAGAGCGGACAAGGCATGGTGTGATGTGCTTGCGTTGCCAGCAAGTGCTATAATGGGGAGACCGACCAGCCTTCTCATCAACCGGCGTACACTTCTTGAGTGCGATTGATACGTACCTGGCAAATCAGCCGCATGGAAACACAACGATATACTTTATCCTCTGGCTACAGTGAAATTTTCTTTTGCGATTTTGGATATATTCTTTAAGATAAAAATATTACACGTTTAGCAGCATGAAATTTTCCGCCGCCATGTTAAAACCGATTTCCTGCCGGATATAGAGTTAGGAGGTCAAAATAAATTTAGTTTCGTACATCTTTTAACGGTTTGCAAAGCTGAGAAAATTCCGATAAAAATTGTTTTATTGATTAGTCCCACTCTAAGAAGATATCCAGTTCATGTGATGGCAAATAGAAAATAATATCACCAGAAGTGCACCCTAACTAAAGAAAGCGTTCTTTCACATGGTGATCACGCCCTTTGAATGCGGTTGTTGAGATTTTACCACATCTAAAACATTTTGCTAGTATTTTATGCTGTCATGATGTTCCACAAATGCAATGAAATGGAGGTGTAGTGAGCTCGTGCAGACACTCCCCCCCCCCAACACACACATACACAAGTTGTTTATTTTGCTTTTATTTTGCCTCTATTTTGTGATTTCCCAAGCATTATCTTAAATCTTACCTCGGCCTAGGCCAAGCGAACAAAATATCATTTATAATAAGAAAGAAAATTGTTAATTCGTAATTAGGAGAAAATTGCCTTGTTTCAAGGAAAATTCTATTTCGAGGGAAAATCCCGGATATAACATCTTTTAAGAAGGGGTCGGAGACCATAGGGAATTTCTTTCGTTTGGAATTTTTTGCGTCAACATCTGACAGTAGGCCTATTGACATCTAAAATAGATAGGCCCTATTTCATTATGATGCATGGGCAAATGATATATCGGCAAATTTTTTAACTATGGTAATTAACGTTGTAGTTTCTTTTCTACAATGAAATTAATAAAACGTTCTTATAGATGTCATACATGTAATCCTTCTTCTCGTAGGCCTATACCTGTGGCGAATTTAGGGATGGGTCAAGAGGGTCCTGACCCCCCACCCCCCACCCCCACCCCTTCGATTTCTGAGAAAATCACACCAATGGCCCCCTCTTGAACTTAGAATCTTGACTAGTTGAATCATAGTTCTAAACCGTACCAAATGGCACCGTTCGCCCTCTAAAATACCAGAATTTTTCGGGGCCCGCTGAAGCCCCCCCCCCCCCCTTCAAATAATCCTGGATCCGCCCCTGTGCCTCTTTTCTTCAGCAAATATCTATCATTTCACCTTACTCGCCCTTCAAAGCAACCGTTTCCATCCATCTACGAGAGAGATGATATTCTTGGTGACCCGACTGAATTACTGATCTAGTGCACGTTTATTGAGTATAAAAACGTCCTTATGGGTTTTATGCGTGTTACTCAACCGGCTGATTTCCACTAAAGAACAAAAATGTAGTGTGTGAGGTTAACCCCAAAAGAGGCTACTGTTGTATTTTCCTCCCCAGACATTCTCTTTTCATATATCGCTTTATGGCATTTTGTAGCGTTTACTCTCTCTACACAGTACTAACCATTTTGCATTTTGGCAAGGTGAACTCCAAAGCACCCCCCTTCTTGCTATGGGTTTACAATATATGTCATCTCAGTTTTCAGTGAAACACTTCCATTTGAACTGTAGATATTATCCTAATAATTAAAAGAAGACAAAAAACAAATTGTTGAGCTATTAACAATAGAGTTTAATTAAGCCGCATGGATAGTAGTGTCAGTCTTTTTCTTTCTTTTGTCAGCATGTCATAATTAGCTTAAATGGAAAGACGGTATGTCTAGGGTACAAAATTGGGCTTGGCTAACATACCCCAAATTTCAGGTTAGGCCCTACAGTCGTACATCTTGAGATGTAGTCACTATTAACAATGAGCTTAAACACACGTTACTTAAATAATGATCAGCCACTCTGATAATTAAAGTATAAATCATACGGTTTAATATCGATAAAAACAAAACATTTGGTATGTATACACGGGCCAAATCGTGGACCCAGGATCGATAAATCTATTTTGCACAATAACCCAATATCTGTTAATTGGGACTTGCATGGTCTATGTTTTTCTTTTTTTTTTTTTTTAATAAAGGTCCACGGAGAGGTAACAAAATCTATTTGATCAGCTGTTTAGGTGTTTTTATATAGCAATGGCGGGTAGCAGTAATAAGGAATGTTTTATTAGATAACAGAGGATATAAATTTCGTGATATTTGGATCTGTTTCTTTTGCTTTTTCGTCCCTCAATAATGTCTATTCTTCTAAAAAGTTCGATTCATGTAACGGTTGCAGGGCGCTTGCCGTTTTAGACCCTTTCGTTCTAAAATAAGAATAAAAATGAAAAAGAAAAAATTCATTTTACAAAGTACGACTCTGTGAGTTGTTTCTCTCTTTCTGGGAACGGGGCGGAGGCTAGATCTGCGATTTTGTTTTGAAAAACGGTCTTACCCCCTCCCCCTAACCCCTGGATCCATTTTGGTCTTAAACTATGGATGGTATGGCGGGTATCAGATGTAATAAAAACTAAATGACGCTTGGAATAAATGCTTTTATTATTATTATTTCATTCTAAGAATTTCTATGTAAAATGTAGGGAAACGTATTTCTCGAACCCTAATAAATAAACATTTGTCAGAAAACTTCTTTTCAAATCAATAAAAAATAATTGATCGCGTGTTTATCGATCACTTAACATGAAATTGCTTTATGATACAATTGACTAGAAATGTTATCTGGTTAACTAGTTGATGGGGCACCAACGATGTTTTCTATGCATATATATAGACAATACTGTTACTAGAGGACTACTTATTGGCGTCCCTATGTATTACAGCTGGATCCAGCACCATAGACAAGATTCAACGGATAATTTTAAACATGGATGTTTTCGCCATTGTATTTGATTTTCTGATAAATTACGAACTGCAAGTTATTATGACTCGCCTAACTACGGATAATCTACAATATACTTAAAATATGTTTTCCAATTGCTCGTTCAACTGGAATAATAAATGCAGTAATATGAGCATATTACATAGTGTTACCTTTAATTTGTTCCCTGTCTTACATATACCTACATATACGACTATAGTACGACTAGATTGGTTATTATGCGTAGTTGAAATGTGCGACTTGTTCATTTAGTCTTTTAAACAAACACGGGAAGTGAAATTTAAAATATCAACATCTGACACAGAAAAGTTATATAATATCAAAAATTAAACTACAATGCCCAACAGCCTTTTAAAAATCGTTAGAACTGTTAAAAATACCTCACCAGCTATATGTGAGGTTAATTCTTGGTGATTAATAAATATAAATATATTAACTATTCCATATATTACTCTGTATGTCTATCGTCATCATCATCATAATGCTGCGTATTATGCACCTATTTAACTTAGATCTGATGTCTTAGATATCGTGTATTTTCACTATAAACCCATTTTTGAAATCCACTGTAGTCTTTTTCACGTTGAATAAGCCTGTCGTACATACTGACCATTGAGTCAATCGCTTCATTTTCTCCTCTCTTTAAATGAGCAAAAAACAACTGCTTTAAGAAAAAATCTCTTTCGATATTTGCACAGCAGTGAAACACGCTGTATTTCTTTGATATATCCTTGAGATAAATTCTTTTTGCAACTGCGATGACGATTCCGACGTATACGTCGTCGAATGGCCAGAAAGGCACGANTTTTTTTTTTTTTTTTTTTTTCATCTTTTGGAAAACTCCTATGGATGAAAGTGCCATATTCATTGTTCCCTGTGGAGATTGAACTATACTATACTGATGACCAATAGTACTAGTAAGTTTATGACCTCAGCCACAATTCATTTACTACACAGTTTTTACATAACTGGTAAAAAGCATTTACGAAAGTCAATAACTAGTACTTTGTGCCAGTAGGCAAGTCTTTCAAAAACTGTCTGACATGTTTTTCTTTCTTTCCTTCTTCATGCTATAAACTCTCCCATTTAAATTAATTTGTATAATGATTAAATGCCACTCAAATCAGACACACATTTATTGACCACACAAGAGTATTCTGAGCACATTTAAGAATTTCTTCATTATACTTTATAGGCCATTTTACCCGCTATTTCATTGTGTTTCCCTCCTATTGTAATTCATACACACAGCAAACACATTAACATTTTACCTTTTCACCTCAGGTCCCAGTTGTTATGACACTAGCTTGTTTCCTGTTGGCCGAGTGGTATCTAATTCTATTGACTTCCCTTCCATATTGCACGCTTTGTTTAGTACACCATCCACTGGCTATGGGCATATAATGTTATGTTCATTTTAACCTCACTAGTGAGAGTATTAGAGGAATGAATCACCCTCGGCCAAGGACTATGGATAAAAATAGTCTTTCTCTGAAACAACATGCCCAGTCGAAGCCATTACACAGCTTGCTATAGGGGGGAGGATAGCTGTATATAAATGGAGAAATAAACATGTGACTGATACTGCCAATATTTCTGAGCTTGACAATCAATATTATAGCACATGTCACAACTGTAAATGAATAGCTTTCTCGTTAAGTGGTGTTATCTTGATTGGACAAGCCCCTAAAATGAAAGTTTGTTAATAGTTTATGACAATAATATTAGAACAGCTTGCAAAAGAAAAAAATATCAATAAAAACAATGCTGAACCTGTATCTTTAATATGTTCATTACTCATACTTAACAAACCTCAAACCATTTGTATTTGCTTTAGGGATTTAATCACTAGCAAAAACTAGGTTTATTTATAAGTCCTCAGGAGGGTAAGGTAAAACTAATCTACCTGACCAAATTATATTACCACTTCATACCTACCACTTCAAAAAAAAAAAAGAAAAGAAAAAGAAAAAGAAAAAGAAAAAAATCCAAATGAAAAATAATAAAAATGCATACTGATATCCTCTTTTGTCAAATAAACATGCTACAATTGTTCAACATGACTGATAAATTGCATCACATTACACAGAATTGCATTAACATAGACCCCCATAGAAGACTACTAGTAGCCTTTATTTACACAATCAGTGCTAAATGGAGAAACCGTTTAAAACCTTTGACCCAAACAAACTCTGCTTCTCACCTTGTTCAAACAAACCAAACCTAAACCTTCTGATTAGCTTGGCAAATAAGGTGGAGAAAACTTCCCAATCACTTATCCAATTATCCCAAGACTGTCCAAATTATGCTGGAGTGACCAGAATTTCAAAGTGAAAGCTGTGCACTTGTAAACCCCAGCCTGATGTACTGTGTTTGTGTACTGGCCATGCTGACAGCTTAATGTTAAATAAACCTTGGGTGTCTATTATGTAATTGTGTTATTGCCCTGAAATGCAAGGTGTGAGTTCACTTTCTTCCTCCTATTTTCATTTTATACAACAGTGACATATACCTAAATCTAACATATAGTGTAAAGTATTATTATCATTGTAAGTTATGCATTAAATGTTCATGAAATCATTTAACGCATAATATAAGACTAACAATTATCTAGCCACACAGTTGACATTTCCCTGTCTTTAGAGGTTCTGACAACATTGTTTCAGACACGACTTATATCTTCAAAAGCATAACATGGTCAGACTCAATAATTAATTTTAGAACTAAAAATAATTCTTAAGTATGATTAGAAAAGCATCCCTATTCAATCAAGCAGGTAATTTACAAAAAAAAAAAAAAACTTTTCATTAAGAAACAGCATACTGGAGTAATGCATAGAAATCTCTTAGTATATAATGTTTCTTTTTCAAGCACTTCACTAACTAGCCATGTGAAGAAATTTTCATCATTGATGTATCTCCTTGTCACATGCAACTGATTTTATTTATTATCTTTTCATTTCATTTTTCTCTATGTTTTACAATTTATTAATTTTGTTAAATGGTAGTTTTCAACTAACAAGTCTCAAAATAATTATAATACACAATTATATTCCTTTTTCAAGTACCATTTATTTTCTCTATCTGAGAGAAGAATATTGTGTCATGAATTAGCAAAAGACATCTGTGAATTTCTAGAGAAAAATCCATCTTTGACCATGGCAGAGTGTGACATGCCATCAGGAGATATCTACAGAGACAATAAGAAGTCGGAGCATGATAAGTCTCATGTCCACTTTCTCAAACTTATGTTTTTAGCTCACAGCTTCAATAAAATGCCACATAATGTATGTCTTTTCAAACATTTAACATAAACAATTTTCTTTAAAATCGCATCCTTTAACCGGTATTTTCACTGCCAAAATCCCTTTTTATTCAATATTGCCCCTGGAGAGATAAAAGACCCACCATATTGTTTCTCTTGAATTACATTCATGAATATGTGTTAAAATGGACATTATACCTCAACTTCTAGCTCATTACAGCTCATAAGAGTAAAATTCATAATCCTTCAGGCTTAAACACAACCAGTGTTTAGTAAAAGAGTGGATGATATATTTTAGCATCTTAAAAGTGATACTAAAAACCTATAGTAGCTGCAAAAATGCTTAAAAACGACCAAACAGTTAATTTGTAATATGTAAACAACTTAGAGGTAACCAAATCCAGCGGCAGCAGACCACAAGTTAACATACGTTCAAAACTTAATAATTTTTCACATAAAAGTAAACATACATAAGTGTACGTCTTTAAACATAACCTAAATATATATACATTTCACTCACAGTACTTAGTAAAATACCTGAACGGAGCGGTTTAAGGACTAGAGCGGACAAGGCATGGTGTGATGTGCTTGCGTTGCCAGTAAGTGCTATAATGGGGAGACCGACCAGCCTTCTCATCAACCGGCGTACACTTCTTGAGTGCGATTGATACGTACCTGGCAAATCAGCCGCATGGAAACACAACGATATACTCTTTCCTCTGGCTACAGTGAAATTTTCTTTTGCGATTTTGGATATATTCTTTAAGATAAAAATATTACACGTTTAGCAGCATGAAATTTTCCGCCGCCATGTTAAAACCGATTTCCTGCCGGATATAGAGTTAGGAGGTCAAAATAAATTTAGTTTCGTACATCTTTTAACGGTTTGCAAAGCTGAGAAAATTCCGATAAAAATTGTTTTATTGATTAGTTCCACTCTAAGAAGATATCCAGTTCATGTGATGGCAAATAGAAAATAATATCACCAGAAGTGCACCCTAACTAAAGAAAGCGTTCTTTCACATGGTGATCACGCCCTTTGAATGCGGTTGTTGAGATTTTACCACATCTAAAACATTTTGCTAGTATTTTATGCTGTCATGATGTTCCACAAATGCAATGAAATGGAGGTGTAGTGAGCTCGTGCAGACACTCCCCCCCCCTCCCCCAACACACACATACACAAGTTGTTTGTTTTGCTTTTATTTTGCCTCTATTTTGTGATTTCCCAAGCATTATCTTAAATCTTACCTCGGCTTAGGCCAAGCGAACAAAATATATCATTTATGATAAGAAAGAAAATTGTTGTAAATTCGAAATTAGGAGAAAATTGCCTTGTTTCAAGGAAAATTATATTTCGGAGGAAAATCCCGGATATAACATCTTTTAAGAAGGGGTCGGAGACCATAGGGAATTTCTTTCATTTGGAATTTATTGCGTCAACATCTGACAGTAGGCCTATTGACATCTAAAATAGATATTTCATTTATGATATATGGGCAAATGATATATGGGCAAATTTTTTAACTATGGTAATTAACGTTTTAGTTTCTTTTCTACAATGAAATTAATAAAACGTTCTTATTGATGTCATACATGCAATCTCGTAGGCCTATACCTGTGGCGGATTTAGGGATGGGTCAAGAGGGTCCTGACACCCCCCCCCCCCTTCGATTTATGAGAAAATCACACCAATGGTCCCCTCTTGAACTTAGAATTTTGACTAGTTGAATCATAGTTCTAAACCGTACCAAATGGCACCGTTCGCCCTCTAAAAAAACAGAATTTTTCGGGGCCCGCTGAAGCCCCCCCCCCCTTCAAATAATCCTGGATCCGCCCCTGTATGCCACTTCTCCAACATATGGATTGTTTGCAGTTTCACGTGTTTAACCCTCGTAATGTTGAAAATAACGATAAAATAAAAAGAAAAGAAAAGGAAACGGATTATAACGTCAGCTGTACAATGGACGACTGCAATGCGTAGGCCTATATGTACAGTATTTTGAGTCCTGCTGCCCTGGGCTTTAAATAATGCCTCTTTTCTTCAGTAAATATCTATCATTTCACCTTACTCGCCCTTCAAAGCAACCGTTTCCATCCATTTACTAGAGAGATGATATTCTTGGTGACCCGACTGAATTACTGATCTAGTGCACGTTTATTGAGTATAAAAACGTCCTTATGGGTTTTATGCGTGTTACTCAACCGGCTGATTTCCACTAAAGAACAAAAATGTAGTGTGTGAGGTTAACCCCAAAAGAGGCTACTGTTGTATTTTCCTCCCCAGACATTCTCTTTTCATATGTCACTTTATGGCATTTTGTAGTGTTTACTCTCTCTACACAGTACTAACCTTTCACATTTTGGCGTGGTGAACTCCAAAGAACCCCCCTTCTTGCTACGGGTTTACAATATATGTCATCTCAGTTTTCAGTGAAACACTTCCATTTGAACTGTAGATATTATCCTAATAATTAAAAGAAGACAAAAAACAAATTGTTGAGCTATTAACAATAGAGTTTAATTAAGCCGCATGGATAGTAGTGTCAGTCTTTTTCTTTCTTTTGTCAGCATGTCATAATTAGCTTAATGGAAAGACGGTATGTCTAGGGTACAAAATTGGGCTTGGCTAACATACCCCAAATTTCAGGTTAGGCCCTACAGTCGTACATCTTGAGATGTAGTCACTATTAACAATGAGCTTAAACACACGTTACTTAAATAATGATCAGCCACTCTGATAATTAAAGTATAAATCATACGGTTTAATATCGATAACAACAAAACATTTGGTATGTATACACGGGCCAAATCGTGGACCCAGGATCGATAAATCTATTTTGCACAATAACCCAATATCTGTTAATTGGGACTTGCATGGTCTATGTTTTTCTTTTTTTTTTTTAATAAAGGTCCACGGAGAGGAAACAAAATCTATTTGATCAGCTGTTTAGGTGTTTTTATATAGCAATGGCGGGTACCAGTAATAAGGAATGTTTTATTAGATAACAGAGGATAAATTTCGTGATATTTGAATCTGTTTCTTTTGCTTTTTCGTCCCTCAATTATGTCTATTCTTCTAAAAAGTTCGATTCACGTAACGGTTGCAGGGCGCTTGCCGTTTTAGACCCTTTCGTTCTAAAATAAGAATAAAAATGAAAAAGAAAAAAATTCATTTTACAAAGTGCGACTTTGTGTGTTATTTCTCTCTTTCTGGGAACGGGATGTTTTTGCCATTGTATTTGATTTTCTGATAAATTACGAACTGCAAGTTATTATGACTCGCCTAACTACGGATAATCTACAATATACTTAAAATATGTTTTCCAATTACTCGTTCAACTGGAAGAATAAATGCAGTAATATGAGCATATTACATAGTGTTACCTTTAATTTGTTCCCTGTCTTACATATACCTACATATACGACTATAGTACGACTAGATTGGTTATTATGCGTAGTTGAAATGTGCGACTTGTTCATTTAGTCTTTTAAACAAACACGGGAAGTAAAATTTAAAATATCAACATCTGACACAGAAAAGTTATATAATATCAAAAATTAAACTACAATGCCCAACAGCCTTTTAAAAATCGTTAGAACTGTTAAAAATACCTCACCAGCTATATGTGAGGTTAATTCTTGGTGATTAATAAATATAAATATATTAACTATTCCATATATTACTCTGTATGTCTATCGTCATCATCATCATAATGCTGCGTATTATGCACCTATTTAACTTAGATCTGATGTCTTAGATATCGTGTATTTTTACTATAAACCCATTTTTGAAATCCACCGTAGTCTTTTTCACGTTGAATAAGCCTGTCGTACATACTGACCATTGAGTCAATCGCTTCATTTTCTCCTCTCTTTAAATGAGCAAAAAACAACTGCTTTAAGAAAAAATCTCTTTCGATATTTGCACAGCAGTGAAACACGCTGTATTTCTTTGATATATCCTTGAGATAAATTCTTTTTGCAACTGCGATGACGATTCCGACGTATACGTCGTCGAATGGCCAGAAAGGCACTACTTTTGAACTTTGATATAGCTTACAAACAGTATCCACATTAGTAATATAAGCTAAACCACCGGGAAACGTGGGATAGCGATCATCTAAGTAGTGAGTTCTATCCACATGCCATTTCTTCTTTTGGTCTCGTAACACACGCGGGTTCTTGTGTAAAAATCCGTGAATGTAATTTGGTTTGGAATTAGCAACTACAGCTTCTACTGAAGACTGGATATATCGAATAACTTCAAATATGTCAACCATGACATCATCATCGACTTTAAGAATGTGAGCAGCCTTATCACAATTTGCGCACACCCACTGAAACCATGCCACATGCTTGAAAGTGTTGTTGAAATACGAGTCGGTAAAATTCGCAGTCAGGATGTCCCCGTATACTCCCGCTTCGTGTGTCACCTGTAAATCGTCACTGCGCGATGAAGACTGTCCAAGTACGAAGATAACCCTAAAATCTAAGTTCATTGCAGGGAGATAATCCTTGCGTCCCCATGAACGACGTATAATATTCCTCCGGTGAAAATTTGAGTGTGCTGAATGGACGATTATTACCATGAACGGTTTATTCTGAGCACACATTTCCCTGGGTTGTAAATCGTACGTAAAAGTATCTGCATAATTGTTAGCGTTCTCCACGTGTAATTTGTCCTCTTTCAATAACTTCTTGACGGAATGCGTCCCATAGAATACAGGAAATTCAATTTCTTTTTGATTACCTGAGAAAGCAGCCGTCTTTGTCCCTACAGCAAGAACGTTGGAGCCAATATCTGCTTTCGAAGCACTTGTTGTTAACTTTTTACTCGTGTGTTTTTGTATAAGGGTCGGTTCACCTTTTTCGGTTGCTTTTATCAATTGATCTTCATTTAAACGCTTATCATTATCAATAATAAATTTACTTGCTCTTAGAGAAGAGATTTGACCATCTGCGTTTTGAGATTCCGCGGCAAATCTATCCACTTTTTGTTCAAGTACTTTTGCGTTCCTTAATTCGTGGTTTTCTGGTTCAATCCATGCATGTATGATAAATAATGTCACAAACAGTATACCCGGGGTTGATATCAGTTTAACTATTCTCTTGCGGTGATAAATCCATCGCAGTAAACGTTTGCATGTGAACATAGTTCCTGTCTCTCCTTCAGATTTAAATCGGTAAAATCGTCACGGCATCTAGATATAAATGAAAAAATTTCCACTTTCCTCTGAATGACAGACTGCAACCTCGGCTGTCCTACTTTGATGGTTGCAACATAGTATCTGCACGTATCTTAGCCTTGCCCTGATGACTCTGTCGTGTCCACTCTCAGCCGTTCTATCGTCCTTTGTGTACGTCTAGACCTTCACAGTGCCTGTTACCTTAGTTTAACCATCCGATCAGCTATGTACTATCCACACCGCAGTGACGTGAGATGAAGCTGACCCGCTTGAACTGCTTCATATAGACCTACAATATAAAAATCGTTTTTCTGCACGTCTTTCCGGCCGTCTAGGTTCACTGAGGACGACAATATATTACATTGCATAAGTTTGACAAAAAAGGCTAATGCCTGACCGAAACAGATTACCTGATTATGTGAATAAACCATCCATACTTCCAATGGACCGATTGTTTTATAACAATCGAGGTTGGAATGATACCAGTATTTTAAAACTGAGTCACCACCTGACAAAAATCCTGAATGAATTAACTAGCTCTTGCCCTTAAATCAATGTCAAATAAAGAATATGCGCTGTCAAAGATTGAATCTTAAATGAATTTCTTATGCATAGAAAATCAGTTTCCAAACCAGACAGATATTTAATTATGACATTCTGTATGCTGTTCATTTATAAACATGTTTGGGAAGCTATTATTCTCGGTAGTTCTCGAATAGGCCAACATACTTAAATAAAATGTATGATAATTTACCCAAGCAACCAGAATCGGGCTTAAATGATCCTTGGTCACGAGATGCATTCTATATACACACACCTATATACGTCTGTTTAACAGGGGTCAAACATTTTTCCTCTCAATGAGAAAGTTGATGGACTGAGCAAAATGTCAACGTTTTAAGTAAAGTTTTAAAAGTTGAAGTAATAAGAAAACTCAAATTTTTAAAATATTTCCGTTACTCTCTCTTTCCCTCTCTTTTAACTGTACCTTTTTACTCAGAGATGTGAGTTGTAAATATGTTCAGTTGAAACTGCCGGTATTAGGCCCGGCAATCTAAAACAGAATTTCTCACAATGTAGGCTATTTTTAAAGTACAATGCGTGATGGGATCCTTTATTAACCGACTGACTGGAGCAAATAATTTGGGTCCAGCTTGTCACAATGGAGTTGGTCAGAAATGCTAAGGACTGATAATCTAGAAAAAAATTTATATGACAAAAAGTTGAAATGGAGAAATTCTTTGCAATGTTTACACGGGTCTAAATGTACGACCTCGGGTCGATACATCTATATAATATAGTCTAGAAAGCAATACAAGAACGTTGAGACTTACATCTATTTTAGATAAAATAATGGGAACATTTTTCAATATGTGACCTTGGAAATATCAGGCCCCCTGATACTCCAAATAGATACACATTCCAGGGGACACAATCGCATGTATTAGACCTTCAGATATTTTCAGTGGATCTACTTATACAGGGGTTTTATGCTAATTTTGAATTACTGGACCGTGGATTTCTTTCTGTAGTTAACCTATAAGGAATTTTTGCGATTACTTTTGCTTGCCTGACCAAGGTTGGTCATAATTCTTCCACCTGTTCAAGGACCTTACGTACACACAATGGGTCCAATTGAGATAAAGATTGCACAGCGATAGTAAAGCACCCGCAGACGGTGACAAGTGAAGGTCTCGCAATAACACACTGTGGTCGTCTGAAACAAAATTATATGACATTATGCAGAACAACATTCTATACACCGTATTACTGACGGATCCCGGGCGACAAACTCGTAAACCTGCAATACTGGTGCGAAGAACACAAACGCGGCAGATAGGGGGCCAAATCCATGGTACCCTTGGCATGATGGTATATCAAAATGTGTTTTGTTATAATCTATCAAATCATTCAAAACAATAGAAAGATTCAAAATATTTATTTGTCCATTTAATCAGACAGGTCATGGTTAACTACAGTCGTAACAGAAAAGAATACACAATATATACATGATAGTATATTTACACATACAGTTCTATAATATGTCAGTCATCACACAGGTATAATTTGTTCTTCATAATTAAAATAATCATTATATAATTGATCATGCTGATCAGGTAAGAAACGTATAAACAAAGCCTGTATACAACCTTTACTTGAGCACATTTTCATTTTTAATTTTGGATTTCTTTTTTAAAAGGCAATCTTCTCATCACCGCAAAACTTTCCTCCAGTCATATTTTTAATATAAAACAGCTCTAAACAAACTACTTTTGTTAATATCTTCATCTTCAAAAAGAAAACAAAATCATACAGAACAAGAAGTACACATTTAAGTAAAATACCTCTGTATACAGTGTACCAGTGCATATATTCACTTTATGCAAAGCACTTATCATTTACTTCTCTCCTTTAACAAACTATGTGGGTAAGTCGAGATAACACTTGCAAATTACCTAAAAATTCACCTTTAGTACAAACAAGGTGCATGTAATATGAATCCATATTGACATTGAAATATATAAAATAAAGATATCAGTATGATAATTATGCCTAGGCTGATGAATACAATATCATCACAGTGTTAATCCTTCTCAGTATGTTTTTAATAAATAATCAGAATAAAATTAACAGGCTCTACCCTTTTAAATCCATATGCTTCTAGGTTTTGGAACAGTGAAAAAGAGTATTTACTTTCAAGTGCTAAAATACCAGTTTTCAAGATAAATTTCTAAGGAGTAAATCAAATGTCTTAAAAATCATCTACATTGTGTGCCCTGTCCTAAATTTATATTTGGCTAAAACAAATGCACATGAGGTATAAATGAAAGAGGGAGGAAATTTAAGTTTTCACAAAAATCCACTGAATATTCTTGCATGAGCATGATCTAGAGGCATAAAACCATTATTAATTTTGTACATTCCATTAATAAGGCAGCATTAAACTTATTATCGTGTTTGATACCAGTAGGTGCTAGCAGATATGGCAAGTTGCAGGCAGCAATTTACTGTTACTTTTATTTCAGTCACAAGGAAAACTATGAAGAATCTAAGCAGTAGCCAGAGCTTGGGTGTGCCTTCAATTTGTAATAATTCTTAAGTAACATCTGTATCTTTTTGAAAATGTACATGTAAATACATGCAAAACAACTCTTAAAACAATATATACATAAATGCATATTCTGTTAGGTTTACCAGCAGCACATATACATAATTTTATACTGCCTGCTACTGCCTTCAAGGTTGAGATCATACGACAAACGCAAACCCAGATTATTCATCAGATCTGTCATATATATGGTAAGGCATATTCTTTAGCTACCCTGATTCTGGTTTGCACTTGTTGTGTTTTTTCTTAGTCTTATCACTTCATTTAACTCACAGTTTTTCTTGTCTGGATGGTAGAGTCAAGTGAAGTTTAAAAAACTCAGTAACCATGAAATCCATACTGACATTTGCCCTATTATACCTTCCCATCACAGATTTTCACCTAAGTATTGCCAAGAGCAATAACCCTCTCCAGGTCATTACTCAGATGTTGATGTCTATTTATCTGCTAATATCTCACTGAGTAAGTAGCAGGTTTCCATGTGATTTGATCCCACAATGTGTTCAAATTTTGGCCTGCAAAATAAAGAAAAATATATTGAGATTTTATTCTTTTGAGATTGTATACAAAAGGGCATCTTTTTATTGTTTCTCAAAATGCAGAAGGGCTTTAATAAAGAATGACTTTTTTCTTGTTATCGGTATTAACTTGTAACAGAAAAAAAAACACAGGCTAAATGCATACCAATTAGATGCTTTAAATAGAAAATGCTCTTTAATCTTTATCAATACTGAATTCTTTCACACTTCCAAGAATTAATAAAATAGAAATCCTTCAATCTATGTCAAGTTTCCTTTTATATTCTTTTCAGACTTACCCAAATCCCTCCTCATCTATGCCTTCCATTTCACAGAAATTCTTGACTTCCTCAAATTTGTTTTTGCCCAAAGCCTGCATGCAGTGCCTGAAATGATCAATTACAAAACTTTTTAATGGTGTATTTTTTATAAAATACAAAATGTGAACATTTATATTTGGAGTAAATAACTGCCAAGAACTTTATTTCTAAACATCACCAATTTTATCTAATATATGTGGAAGTTCAGTTTTACTTTTCTTAGTGATGAAGGTAACTATTTGAAACATATTCATTATCCCAAAGGTTTTAGCTCATAGTTTAACTGCACAATTACTAGTAGAGTATTTTTGTGCCTCATTTCATTTTCATGGCTAGATTTTAGTCAAAGAAGTATTTTTTAATTTAATTTTTCAATATCATATACATAATATTCAATCAACTTACTCTCTAATAAAATGTCTGCAGGATGATGATCCATCTCCATGTTCATCTACAATCATCTCATCACTTCCTGCTGGGAGTTCGTTAGCTTCCTTAGCAGATGCCAACAGGTTATCAAGGTCCTGAAATAAGTTGTTTTAAATGTATCATGTAAATGAGTTTTAACAAACAGAACGAGTGAATAAAAATAAACAATTGAGTTAGCACTAGAATGATGCAAATTTTGGGAGGATTTGCTAAAAATAATAATAATAATAATATTTATTTCTTAAAACCGCACTACACTAGCGTCTCAGTGCTGTTTACAGGTAAAATTATTAGGATTACAACTTATTATATATATAATAAAAGCTAAGGTAAAAAAATAAAAAATTAAAATAATTAAAACTGGTTAAAATAGTAATGGTCTGAACAATAAAACTTTTTTCTGATAAAATGAGAATATATTAATTAAAATACTGTGCAAATAAGAATGTTTTTAAATCTTTTTTAAAAACCTCAACACTGTCAATAGTCCGAATGTGTGAGGGTAATTGATTCCATAAAATTGGTGCTGAAATTGAAAATGCCCTGTGGCCGTAAGTTTTGGTCGTTTTTTATTATCATTTCTGATAAAACAAGGAGTGGAGGTGAATCTGGTAGACCTGGTGAGACTGGGTGTACTTGGATGTAGCATCGAGTTAAAATATGAGGGGCATTCACCTCTAGTGAATTTAAAAACAAACAACAGTAATTTAAAAACAATTCTCTGTCGTACAGGAAGCCAATGTAGTTCGAATAAAATGGGTGAAATGTTTGATCTGAGAGGGATTTTGGTCAGTAGTCGTGCTGCAGCATTTTGGACAGATTGCAATTTTTCAATTTGATAGGTAGGAAGACCATACAGTAGACTGTTTCCGTAGTCAAGATGTGAAGTTATAAAGGCATGGACAAGCCTCTCCATTTGACTTTTATCAAGGATGTGGGATAGTTTGGAAATTTTTTTAAGACCATAGAAAGCGGCTTTGCATTTTTTACTGATGTCGGCAGCCATATCGCACCTATTATCAAAAATTACTCCAAGGTTTTTAACCTCATCTTTTACCGTGACTGTACTGTTTCCAATTTCTAATAGTTCTAGTTTTTCAGCATCCTTAGAAAACGAGAAGTAAAGTGAACTACTTCTGTTTTGCCATCATTGAAAACAAGTGAATTGGCATTAAAAACAAGATTTTATTTTGTAAACTTTGGATAAAAGTTTAAGAAGTAACATACCAGTAAGCTTTCTACTGCAACTGTAGTCTTATCCACAGTAAGTACATGGAAAGGATATTTAGTAAGTAAAGGATAACATTTGATATAACTTTTTTTGTGTAAATTGAATGCACAGTTTCAATAATTCATATAGTTTGGCGATTGAAAGTATCAAGTTCACATACCCCTTCCATATAATCTTCAAAATCATCATCATAGTCATCTTCCTGGGCTGAGTCAGAATTCTCACTATCTTCAACTTCTGGCAGTTCCTCAGGAATTTCTGTAAAAAAGAAGATAAGTTTTTGTACACAGGAATTTTAACATGTACTAGATGTATAACTTCATCCAAATTTACTGCAAACTTTACTTAACTAGCTCTACTTCTTGATGTGTGAGATCACTTTACTGAAGCCACAAACAGCGAGTTTACATTTCTTACTGCATTCTATTAGTCTTTACTTTAATCTAAAACATTAAGTGTTCCTTTAAGATAATTAAGTTACTTCTGGCTATTCATATTTTCAATCATATCTATCAAATAGCCACATTCTTATAAACAGACTTAACATAATATCAAACCATAAAACAAAGCCCAATCCCAAACTTAAGACACACACATTCAAAAATGAAATAAAATATCTATATCTGCCCTAAATAATTTTGAAAATCTTTTAACCACAATTAAGTTAGCACATATAATATTTACTACTGGGTAAATCACAAGAGCTACATGTACCAGTATGCATTTACATCTAACAACCACACTTTGTGAAATATAAGTTTTGTAATTGTGATCAACACAGGGAATGAAAGATGGTGAACGCTGTTTTGGAGAAGTTTGAATACTTTTTTTTTCTAAAATTGACAGCTAACATCAACTTTTGCCAAAGGAAAGTCAACATGCATACACACGTACTCACCATCCATGTTACTTAGAATCTGCTTGTAAGCTACAAGGGACAAATGGTTTTACAATGCTTCACTATTGTTATAACAAGAAGCAAGCAACATAAATTCAATATTGCACACTATATGCCATGGAAGCAACTGAACTTCTAGTTTTACATGTTATGGCAATGGAAAGCCATTGCAATATGTAAATAACCATCATAATGTTTCCTTTGCTACTATAAATTTACCTGCATCCCTAGGCCTTCATAAACAATGTTAGATTGGCAATTTTTTGGTGATATATTATTAGTGTGTGATACTAAATTATCTACGTACATATTAACAGCTCAAGCAAGGGTACAAACCTTCTTCTACATCTGAAGCTGAATTCACTGCCTCTTCATCAAAATCATCTGAGTAGTCTGACTCCTCTCCCTCATTACTTGTTTTCACATCTGGCAGTACTTCTTCCACAATTTCACTGTCTGAGTAAATAAACAGCTGGTTAACAATCTCAGAAGACTGAGAAACAATAAAAAACTGTCCCTGATTCTAATGCACGGCTCATGCAATCATATCAAATTTAATCATAGGCAAGAGATAGACTAGAGTTTGACTGAAGATGTAGATTTTATTTTTTTCGTTAAGGGTTCAAGATGCCTTTACGTTGTAAGCACAAGGTATCAAAAATGGAAACTTCAAACAACTAAATTCATCATAATTCTCCTTCAAATTATACCTTTATTAACATCTGAAAGCACATCTACAGAAAAATCATTACTGTCTCCACTGCTCTTGACATAACTGCTGTCACAGGAAGAAGAATTGGTTGTGTCTGGGTGAGCTGTACTTGGCCTCTGCCTTCTCAGACGCGGGCCTTCTTTGGCTGGGGTGGGTTCTACTGAGAGGCTGCGGCTAAATTGCAATAGATATGTGCATATTAATATCAGACATGTCAAATACTGATCAGGTTATAACTAACAAATACTTAAGGTCGTGTTGGAACTGGGAGTTCAGAAGAACCACAATGAACATTTTGATGTAGATTTTACGTCATTTTTCTAGGCAAGTCGACATTTTCAGAAGAAAAAAAAATCATTTTATAAAATCTTTAGGCTCCTTAGCCTGATTTTAGCTAACAGGATATATAACTTTACGTTATCAAGCACTGTAGCACACAAGTTTGTGAATGATGCTTTTATTGAAATCTACAGTTATAAACAAAATTACATAAATTGTACAATAATATAGATTATGATACATTTAATATGAAAAAATAACAGTAAGATGAATACAAAAATCAACAACTTACTTCAATGGGGAGCTTTTTGGTCGACTTGAAGCACCTTTAGAAAATTGCAAGGATGTATCTTTGATGATTTTCTGCTGCAGAAGATACTCCTTCTCTTCTATAAACTCAGATAAATGCTCTTTCACAAAATGTAGATTCAATATTGCACTAGCACTAAAAAATAAAGAAGGATAATTGCTGCCATCATCATTTTAACATCACAGAAATAATATACATGAAACATCTTAAAATTGTTACTCAGATATTTACCATAACATTTATTTTTAACAATCAAATCAGTTTTAAATCAGATAAGCAATGCTTCACAAGTACTAATATAAATTTGTGATAATTATTTTGGAAACGACATGACAAAAAACTTATGCTGTATATCAAAGATATTACCTTGGTCTTTCCTCTGGGGACTTGTTTAAAATGGTTTTTACCAGATCTTTGAAAGCATCAGAATAAATATCAGGAACATCCTAGGATAAATTAACATAACTTACCAATTAAGACATACAATTGCACAAACAATTCTGGATAATAGTAATCAAAATTACTATTGAGAAAACATCAATATAATCCTTACCATTTAGGAATCAACAAATGCAATGTAACAAATAAATATTTTTAACATAAAACAAAACTTTTAAAAACTTAACTTTTGCCAAAAGAAAAGCAAAATATATGTGCATATGCCTATATGAAGACATTTTAAATGGACTTCTTGGGGTAAATGTAATATCACTTACTGCATACTCTCCTCTGACTATCTTATAGAACAGGCTGACCAGATTGTATGCATCAAAGGCTGGAGCTAAGGCACACATTTCATAGAGAAGGCATCCCAAGGCCTGAAATACAACACATGACAACATCATCAACAGCTAATTTTGTATGAAGTATAGTACCAAATGACCCTCATCTCTCATTAAATAAATGTAAGTTGAAAGGAAAAGAAAAAAAAAAACAGCAAAATGCATTGTACAAAGAATACACTGCTTAGTATGAGTATTTGTCTGCTAGGACTCAATTGTATTTCTACCGAAAAGACATATTTTTACACACACACACACACACACACACACACACTCCTAAAAATTAAGATCAATATATTGGCCTACCCAGATATCTGACTTTGAGCTGTATGGAATGTCTTGACATAGTTCTGGACTAAGGTAACATGGAGTACCAACACAAGTCATGGCCATGTCTAATGTGTTGTCCATCATTTTTGATATGCCAAAGTCACCTGAATATATATATATATATATATATATATATATATATATATATATATATATATATATATATATATATATATATATATATATATATATATATATGAAACAAATGCTAGGTTATTTGTTTATTTATACACCTCACATGGACATTAAATACAATAATAATTTACCATGAAATGTTGCTAAGGTGACAAACGATAAAGATTTTGATACTTGAGATCAAAAGGCTAAATAAACTGATTCACAACAAATAGATATTGATGCATCAAATGCTCTGCAAGACAGACTGCTTTGTGTGTCTATGTGTGCTAATCAATAACATTCAGAATAGATGTTCAGGCACAATTTCAATATTTCAAATTCACTAACCTAATTTAACAACACCCTTCTTGGTGAGAAAAACATTCTGACTTTTCAAATCTCTGAAAGGAAATATATGTCAATTTATCAGTTTTAAAAAACACTGAACAAATATAATGGACCAATCAAGTTTTTGTAATAGACATTTCACCAAAAAGGGATTTAAAGATTTAATTACATTGTTCAGAGGACAAAACCACAACTGTGATACTAGACTGTTCAAAGAGGTTCTGGGTATAAGTAATTATGGACTGTACTAGGGTTTCTAATGGGTGTCTATAGGGTTGATTTTTTTATTTATTTTTTTTTTGAGTCCCTGAAGAAGACAGCAAGCCAAAAGCTCAGACATTGTGCCAAACACGGTAGATCTTTATAGATGCATTTAAATGTAACATATTCATTACTTAGACTGTTCAAACAATAAGTTCAAATCTAGACCAAAATAAGTTCTTAATACCTGTGTAAAATCTTCTTGGAATGCATATGTTGAACAGCCATTGCAATCTGAATAAACCACTGAAAAAAGACAACAGGATATATTTTAATCCTGAGAAAAAAAACTAACAAACAAAGAACACATTGTTTATCTATTTCATCATTTCTTCAAAAAACACCTTTATAATCATACATTATGTTTATGTTGTTTTTTAATATTAACTACATTTTTACATATATGGTGATCCCCAGGTTATGCTTACATGCATGATATCTTTTTCAGGGAAGAAGGACTGTGTCTGAAATTAATAATGTGTTCATTTTATCATATCCAGTATATAAAAAGCATGAAAACAATATCTCTGTTCATTTTGGTCTTAATACATCCCATATGAAAACAGCATAATAGTCTCAAATTTATCATAGAACAATGACTCAGCTTTACTCTTATGAACAAGTATTTTAAATATGTAATATGTCTGAATAATACAAAAATGCATGATATGGTTACCACAGCAGCAGCTTTAATCTTGTCATCTAGAGTTCCTCCATCACAGTAATCCTACAAGAAATTAAATACCTTCTTATTCCTTAAATTTACAAAATTAAATTATTAATAATTTACATAAAGTTAAAAAAACATTAAATCATAAAATACCATATTATATATGGACAATTCAAAAAGACTGATAAAGAAAAGATAAAAACCTAAACAAACAATCAGCACAAAATCATATTCATTAGCACATTAGATAAAAACACTGGAAAAACTTCACTGAGCTCAACAAAAAAGGAAGAAAGCGCAATGAATTTACCTGAACAATATAGAGATATTCTTCTTTCTCATCAAAGAAGGAATCATGATATGACACTATATGAGGATGCTTCAATTCAGCTAGGATACTGTAAGATAAAAAAA